GAAATTGTTATGATTAATATACAATTTTCATATAAAATAAAACTACGAATTATGTCCTTCATAAAAATTTAACTTTGACGCAGGAAATTGTCATTTATTAAAATATTTTCAGTCATCAAAAAATAAATAAATAAACACTAGGAATATTTGAGTGAATATATGGTTCTACAATAATATCTACAGTAGATAGTCTAAATTTCAGATGATGGAGAAAATTTTTGTAGATCAAGTGAATAGTTATGTCGGAGTTTTGTTCTCTGAGCTAGAGAGAGTATAATACAGCAATAACTATTTTGAATGAATCATTGTTAGACTACCATTATAAACCTGCAAGCAATGGACGGCTATTTCGTCCTGGTATGCGACTCATCAGCAGTGGGCATTCATGACTCCTGCTACTCGCAGGATTCGAACCCAGAACGAAACGGCCATCCAATGCCGTCAGGTTTCTAATGATAGTCTAACAATGATTCATTCATGGTTTTGATGTAAAACAACGATTTCTATAGTACTATAATGCAGAATTAGTTAGCGTGATGCATAGATTGAAAAAAAACATTGAAACTAATATAAGTAGTTATTTGAAGCGATGATTATTAGGTATGTGCATGCTCCTAGACTATATAGCGCGCATGAATACATATTGTAAGTATCGATCAAAGTTGGAGAAACACTGAAAACGATCGAGTATTGAATAATTATTTCATTCCTAGTTCAAGAAGTATAAAAGTAGTCTTGATTCTGTAGGATTCGTCACTTAGTATGCTTGAGGCTATTACGAGTTTACCTTAGTCGATAAACGCAAATGAGACTTTTACCAGCGTCTAGGTAGGCTACCTTGAATCCGAGGCTGAAGTAAAACTGCTTTGTAAGCGTAGAAAGTATATTCTATAAACACCCAGCAATCACAATACAATCAAGCATACAACTCTCGTTTATTTATACAACATAGAAACGTCCTTCAGACAGTTAAGAAAATAGCACACTAAAATACACAGCAGCTAATCACAGACATGGATTTTCCTGGTGAGAATTTAAATCTCAAAGTCAACTGATCAGCCCATCCTTGCAAACGTGAAAACGATTCATAACTTTAGCACAGTAAGTGATACCATTGTCACTTTTTAAGTACAAATGTTTAATCGATAACTCCATGTATCCACCTTTGATCGACTCATAACTTAACATAATAATCATTCCAATTTAAATAATCATCAAGTTTTTTATTTTTACATTAAACATGATTGAACTTAATTATTACAGAGTGAGTGACATGACAGTTTTCACAAGTGTGAACTGATAATGATTATGTACTCACTAGTACGAAGCTACATGATGTATTCATAAAGTTCTAGTGAAAAATCTTTTACCAATAGCAGAGTTCAATCTGTGTTGGGTAGGTTATAGTAGTTATCCGTCGACGACAATGGATGATAGTCACATAATATCGTGTAATGATTGAAGTTAAATATTAAGACCATAGAATGTTGGCTTATACATGAGGCTGTAGGTGATGGATTGAATATCTGGCTGTGGGGTATCATAGATGTGCTCATCCAGTAGTAGTGTGGTGTGAGCTACTTATAAGTAGTATATGACGTGAGTGTCAACGTAATGTCTGGCAGCAGAAGATGTGGGAAGATCAAGCAAGAAAGGAAGAGTGGGAACACAATGGAATTTGTATGAAACGCATGAATAATGACAATGGATTGATGTTTTGACAACAGGAACAGTCCAGTTCCATATGATGAACTGATATTTTGCAAATGAACGATTTACGATATGGTTTTCCGATTTTACTGAGTAACTCTGTAATTTTCGTTAAATACAATTCGGTTGCCCTCACCTGTGTTCTCGTTCACTACACCAGGACGAAACGTCCATCCAATGGTTTGAGGTTTCCAATGGTTACCTAGTGTTAATCAATTCATAATTTCAATGAAACTATTGAACAGTTTCCACAAATTTATAATAAATGTATATTATTTTATTAGAAGTGTTTACATCTTCCTATTGTTGATATTTAGAGCTTTAAAACGATCATCCTGAATTCTTCATTTAGCGATATTTCAAAAAAAGTATACATATAGTGAAACTCGTATCTATAAACACGACTGAGTCATTCGAATTATGGTCTAGGCATGTGAACAAAGACAGATCAAATATAGCTTTAAATATCAATAATGATAAATTATAAATCTTTTTAAATAATATCTCATCTATCGAGAGAATTGATGATTATCTGAATTGATTGCAGTACAAGAGTAATGTATTGAAGTTTCAAGTAAAAGGTCAGTTAATCAGCAACAACATAGAACTTCATACGCACGTAAATTAGTTCAAGTTTTCATACCATATTAGTACAGAAACGCAATTATCTGTTCTAATCTCATAGTAGTAGAGGTAGTGAAAGTATGATCAGTAATAGGAGAGATTAGGGTTCGAAGATATGACTTGAGAACTATAATCTAGTGAAATAAACTTAAAAAGAGGAAGATAAAGGTGATCAGGAATTCAGAAGATTAGAATTTGAGAGAACACAATGAATGGATGCACCTATGTCACTACAAATGATTTTGATGCATGTCATTCATTCAAGGTTTCTAACCATCGATTACTATCATCTCGCGGACCCCGACCAAGTAGTCGACACCTACCAATATGGCTCAATCCAGTTGTCAGTGAATTTATGGATTTGTAGCATGTTTTGGTTTAGCCGCCCCTGGCTCTCTTCCAACCTATTTCTACATCACAAAACATAGCTCAATTCTATTATTTCATCATACATATGCTTTTCACTGTTCAACTGACCAGTAATAATTAGGACGGAACATTGATCTTGGATTTCATTGCTATCCACAATGTAAAAATAATATTCCATATATATATGCCTCCAACTGTCTTGTGCTGATACAATTGATCGGAGCCCTCAGACCACACATGAAGCTAAAGATCGAGTTCGTCCCACAAGGTCAGCCAGAACGTACACCCTCCCATAGGGAAGAAGTCATGGACTCGACCAAGGTCAAGCACTCGGCTAAGCAGGGTTAATCCCACATAAGTGGGCAGATATCATTGTCGTCCGGTAACCTTTAGCACCGGATTACATAACCCAAATGGAGACCTTTTGTTTAAGAGGCCTCAACGCCAGTTTACACAATACGCCGAGATGCAAAGTATTTGGGACAACCACAAAGGGTCGGTGTCAATAGTCCAGCATCTTTACGGCTGCTTCCCCAAACAAATCATCTAGGGCCGCCTTCAAGTATCCTAGGAAGCTGTATCTCAATATTTCAAGTTTACCTTCGCTCAATGGACGGGATTCATACTTAGAGGCGTTCAGTCCTAATCCCCCAGAGTGGCTAACCGCATCTACGGCCTTGTGACAATGAACACATACCATTATTCTGCAATATACTAGGGTAACAGGCGTAAGTAAGTAAGATACTAGGCACGGTATCCTAAGCGTTCGGAAAGGCTTTCAGCCACAGCGCCGTAAACAACGCCACATTGCCTGGCAGGACCTTGAAGAGGTAAACGCCACCACAACCTTATATATATATATATATATATATATATATATATATATATATATATGTTTCAGGATTCTATTGAAACATTAGCAGTAGTAGAAATAATGTTCCGAATCTTATGTGAAAACTTTTAAGAAAATAGTTTTATTTAAAGAATCATTCAGGCAGTAATAATAATACTGAAGTATTAGCATACATCTACATTTATTCAAGCATGAACACAATTTCGGATAATCGATTTTTTTGGTTTACTTTGTTATTCCTAGCTTAAAGTTATTTATCCCCTCTCGAAAATAAATCACATTAACTATTGAATATTTCAGTCAGTCAGATGCAACGTAGAACTCCATACGTAAGTACATCAATTCATGTTGCCATACCGCATCAGTACACACAGACGCAATTGTCAATTCAAATACAATAGTAGAAGGGGTAGTAAAGGTATCAGAAGTAATCCGAGAGGTTAGAATTAGAAGATATTCAAGAAATATGATTCAGTGAGATAAGATTAAAAGTCATTACTTCATCTATTGATCTGCCATTCTTACCGAGAACCCCGTTTCCTAGTAACAGCGTTGCTCACTCGGGTGTCCCAGCATATACGAGCGATGCTTCGAAACCATTAAACGACGAATATCTTCTACTCTCACTGGCCATGTTTCACAGCCATAAAGTAAGACGGAGCGAACTACTGCGCAGTACACGCGTCCTTTGTTCAGCAAACGGATATCTCGCCTACGCCATAAGTGATGCAGGTTGGCAAAAGCCAATCGAGCCTTCTGTATCCGAGCTGAGATTTCGTCAGTCACTAGGCTATCAGCACTGATGAGACTCCCTAGACAAGTGAAGCGGTCTACACGTTCGACTACTTCACTCCCTATCACTAGTTCAGGTGCCGATGAAACCTAATCTTGAAGCAACATTTTGCATTTCGAGGGGGAAAACCGCATCCCGAACATGCTTGCATTGTTGCTTAGGGTAGTCAGAAGACTCTGCATTTTGTCAGCGTCTTCACCAAGTAGGACAATGTCATCGGCATATTGTAAGTCAATTAGTGAGCCACCTGTTATAAGGTCTACTCCTGAAAATTCAGACAAGGATAAGGTTATTTCTAGGAGCATGTCTATGATAAAATTAAACAAGAATGGAGAGAGTGGACATCCCTGACCCACACCACTTGAAGTGAAGAATTCCGGTGGCAGTTCGCCATAAGCTCTCACTCGACCAGTGATGTTCGAGTAGAGAGCTTGTATGAGGTTAATGTACTTCTTTGGTACACCTTTCAATGACAGACACAGCCACAGAACCTTACGAACCAGAGAGTCGAATGCCGCCTTGAGGTCCAGGAAGACAACTATCATCAGACATCTAAATGTGTGTCTGTGTTCGAGTAGAGAGCTTGTTATTGAATATTTCAATAAAATAAGAAAAAAAATATCATTTTTATTATCACAAAGTAGATCTCACCTGCTGTAGATAATCCTGGACTACTTGTAAACTTGACAACATCAACTATTTTAACTGCATATTCAATACCAGTATCTTTATGTGTACATCGTCGTACTACGCTGAATGGTCCTCTAAAGGAAAAAAAGGAAATAACAATGATGATGATGATGACGACGAAAGCGTAGATCATCAGAAAAAAAAATACAAAAACACAGTTCCTTAAAGAAGTTCACCAAATTACCGCCTATCCGACATCACTATGTATACATCAATCAATCAATTTGTTTGAAGAAATTATTTTTAAACCGATGATGAAAAAGAGTTAAATTTTAAGATGAATAGTATGAGATTAAGCTAAGTGTTTATTAACAGTTATCTACGCAAAATAATTCGGATTCGTTGAACAGACATCATTAGCAACAACCTACTGTAAGAGATAGAACAAACTAGATTCCTGTAGCACAGGAAGAAATTAGGAAGAAGCGCTGGAGGTGGATAGGACACATACTGAGGAAAGCCCTCACTTGAAATCCTCACGGCCGAAAGGAAAGGGGAAGGCTAAGGAATACATTACGTTGAGAAATGGAGACAGATATAAGAGGAATGAACAACAATTGGACAGAACTAGAAAGCAAGGCCTGAGATAGCGTAGGTTGGAGAATCTCGGTCAGCGGCCTATGCTCCATTGTGATAAAAGGCGTAAGTAAGTAAGTAAGTAAACACATTAATCAATGAATTTATGGGTGAGATGAGATACTTAAAACGAAGCAGATAATTTCCTCAGAAGATCGATCACCGAGCCTCTGACCCAAAAGTCTAATCCAGCGGAACGATATCCGGAAATGCAGTCTTATGGTAGACAGTGAAAAATAATAGATTCATACTCTCTCAGGATCTTGGGACGCATGTATACTATTGGTTTGAAACAAGGGTTCTTCAACAATTCCTCTAGATGGATGCGTCTTACCCACCACCAACTAAGTCAAAGCAACGGATATTTGCTTTTCATTCTTTCCATTTTGTAGACAACGCCCCTGCTATGAGAGAAGGCAGGAAAAAAGACTTCGCTGACAGTAGTTATATACGCATGGTTATATGAGAGCATTTGGAGGCCACTGCCTATCAAGTTTTTCAGTTCTAGATAATAAAAAGTTGAGGTAAAAGTTGTTAAATTAAGCCTAAAAGTATTTCACTACCAAAAATTAAGTCTCTGTTTTGTGGGGTTATTACGTACATCGTTTTTACATTTGTTTCGTTTCGAACAGATGCATCATAAAAATATCATGGTTACAACAGTGCTTTGTCAAAAAATATCATCCAAACTTATCAGCAGAAACAAAATCAAGAATAGAAACCAACAAACGAATCACCCTACCATATGTACATATATATATATATATATATATCAAAGGCACCAGAAATCATAACGAAATCAGTGATGACATTTGGAGTAGGTTTAGCACAAAAACCAGTAAAACCACTACAATGAATCCTATCGAAACCAAACCAAATAATCAAATGGCAAACAAAAGAAAAACCGAACATCATCTAGGGAAGCTTAAGAATCCTGACACTCATATGATTAATCATCAGTTAACAAACAAATCGAAACTAATAAAATTTATCAGTCAGTCAGATGCAACGTAGAACTTCGTACGTAAGTACATCAGTTCATGTTGTCATACCACATCAGCACAGAGATATAATTGTCAATTCAAATCCAATAGTAGAAGAGGTAGTAAAGGTATTGGAACTAATCGGAGAGGTTAGGATTAGAAGAGATTATTCAAGAGGTATGATTCAGTGAGATAAGTTTAGAAAGGCCAAAGTAGAGGTGTTGAAGAATCCAGAAGATTAGGATTTGAGAGAACACAAAGAATAAATGCACTGGCGCCACCGCAAACGGTTTTGAGCCATGTCATTCAGGGTCTCTAACCATCGATTATTATCATCTCGCGGATCTCAACCACTTAGCTGCAAGTGGAGAATACTGTAACCAGTTTAGACATTACCTAACGGTGTACATTTAATGATATTTATCTGTGATCAATATTTTGGTTACGGAGTAGGACAAAAAAGTGCTGTAATGCTTTACACCGAAATTTTAGGTAGACATACATATAATTCTCTAGCACGAAATTTATGATGGAATAATAAATACCAACTATGAATGGTCAACATATAGCTAGTATATTGTCAGGACTAATGTAAATACTCAGACACACAAAACTGCTTAAAAGTTCTTCTACTTTATCATTACTGAGAAACTTGGTATTTAAATAAATCGATCTATTATTAAGGTGTACAATGTGAAGCAAATGTGTGCATTTTACATGTGCACAAAAATATATCTGCTGAAGTGATACAGACTATCGTTTACATTCAAGCAAGTTCATCTGTTGGTCCTTCTTGAAAGTTGATCACTGATATTTCGCATCAAAAAAATCATTCTGGTGACCTAAGTAATAGCTTCTTTCCTAGATTGACAGACTGATAAGTCAGTTGTAATCGGATTTATTATAACCAATTATAAGTGCCTTATTAAGTTATGAAATAATTGTCTTTCTGGATAATGATGAATCTGATTTTCTTTAATGACAAATGAATTATCTAATTATTAAAAAAGAACCATGTATGACAGTTTTTTTCATAAATTTCTTTAGTGTATTTGCCAATAGTTCACTTTTATATCCTAACTACATACATGCGATGTCGACAACAGTCCTCTTGATATTGTTGAAAACTTAAGGGTAAGTTTAAGGTTTCGTGAATGTTTATAAATAAGTTTTTGAGTGTAGTACTACGCATAATAGTGCACGAGTTAATTCACAAGTACTCAAATTTGCTCCATACCGTACAAGCGATCCGGAATCTTGTTGTTAGATGATATTGATAAGATGAAAGACGAAATCGTTGAGTAACTATACCAATTTTATGGTAATATCTATTAACTACTGCTAGCAGAATAATGGTATAATATATAAAAACAGAAAACTTAGCAGTGATTTGTGTAACATAAACCTTATTTGAGCACAAATATAATTAGCGCACAGAACAGAATCGATTATATTTTCTGAACTTAAGCACGAAAATCTGATGAGATGGGTTAATCCCCCTCATAAATAAATAAATTTTAGATTTGTAAATGTCAAGACCACTCAATGATTTTTAACTATCCTAAAACTATATGGTAGACGGACTGAATGCAAATAACGATGGAAAACAATAGTTTCAATGATTATCCTGCCCCCTAATAATCATCAGGGCTTCCACAATACAATTGAATTAAATAAAGCTTTAGAAACACCTAATGGTTCGTGTTAAGTGTGAAAAAGTTGGATACTATTTGCGTGTGAAAAATAAATCATCGATATCTTTCAATTTACTTTCCAATAATTTCATGAAGTTCATAAACGTCATCGAAAATAGCATCACTCTCGCTCATTCTGAAAGACCTTTGAAAGTGTGTCTTCTCAAGGTTGCTTCATAAAACCGTAATGTATGCAGTAAAACAAAGGCTGAAACGAAACGCTAAGACCCGAATGAATCAGTTATCTCGTAAGAAACTTGCCCCGGAAAAACAGTCAATTTATTTTCGATAGCTCATCAACCCTGAACTCTACTCTGGAGAAACAGAGTAGTATCTGTACCGACAGGTTTTGTCTGTGAAGCAGGAAAATGTTCTTGGTAAAGGAAAGATAGTTCCTGCCTCTTAACTTACAAATCAAAATGACGACGGTATTTACAGGTTATAATACGAATAGGTTTAGAGTTAATTGCGGGTACTATGTTTGTAGTCTTCTAGTTATCATATTAACGAGCTTTCGTGAGTGATATGGCAAATAGTCTGAAGAGTAAAACACAAATCATAACCCACATTTTCAGCATGTTAGCAGTGATACTATCTTGTCTTTAAATATTGAAGTCCCTATGAGTAGCAGTGACCATAAATAGTGGGAATGAAGCAAAGCCGATTGGTGACAATACTAGCAAGACCACCTTGTGTGCAAAACAACGTTAACTTACCTACGCCTGCTACCACCAATGGAGTGTAAGCTGCCAACCAGCCTTCTCCAGCCAACTCTATCCTCGGCCGTCCTTTCGAGTTCTCTCCAACTGTTTTTCATTCTTTTCATGTTTGCCTCGATTTCTCGACGTAATGTGTTCGTTAGTCTTCCTTTTTTCCATTGACCTTGAGGATTCCATGTGAGGGCTTGTCTTGTGACGCAGTTGAGTGCTTTCTTCAATATGTGTACTATCCACTTACAGAACCCAATCCTGATTTCTTCGTGTGCTGGAATCGGGTTTGTTCTTTCCCATAGTCTGTTGTTGCTGTTGATGTATGGCCTACGTGTACGAAGTATTTTGCGTAGACAACCGTTGATGAACACTGGTAGCTTCTAGACCATGGCGTTCGTATTTCTCCAAGTTTCCACCCCATACAGTAGAGTTGTTTTGATATTTTGATTAAAAACTCTGACTTTGGTGTTGGCTGATAGTTATTTTGAGTTTCAGATGTGATTCAATTGCAGAAATTCAGTCCTTGCTCTGCAGATTTGGAACCTACAAAGTATTGGTTTACTAATCCTAGTACCTACCATCACTGTATATATTTGAAAAGCTAATTACGTGATGTTATAATTGGTATTCAAAATGCGATAATATACGAATAAGAAAATATATATAGTAAAAAGTGCCCACCTTAGTACTAATGTCTCACTGCTAACTGATATAGTCAGATAGCTCGTAACTAATTTATCTGGTCTGTTACGTCAGCCTCCTATTAGAACCTACTTCCATTGCAATTTCAGTTCGATTTATATTTCTTGACATTATTGCTTTAACGGTCATTGATGGTTACTGCTCAATAAATATTCAGACCTTTATTATCAGTGGTAGATATTGCATTAATTTTCTATCTTATCTCTGTAGTATTGCCATTTTTTATGTAACTTATCGTACCTGCTTTGTTTTTGTGCCCTAAATATAGTAAACGGATATAGTAAGAGAAAGAAGTTTAACATAGTAAAACAAGAAGGTATGAGTAAGTGCCGCGAACGGGCTACCCAGCAGCATTTCGATGAGTCGTGATTTTTCCATACCCTGTTTGGCTATGAGGCTTTACTTTCTTACTTACTTACTTACTTACGCCTGTTACTCCCAATGGAGCATAGGCCGCTCACCAGTTTTCTCCAACCAACTCTGTCCTGGACTTCCCTCTCCAGTTCTGTCCAATTTTTGTTCATTCCTCTCATATCTTTCTTTATTTCTCGGCGTAATGTGTTCCTTGGCCTTCCTCTTTTCCTTTCACCTTGAGGATTCCATGTGAGGGCTTGTCTCGTGACGCAGTTAGGTGCTTTTCGTAGTGTATGTCCTATCCACTTCCACCGCTTCTTCCTGATTTCCTCCTTCACTGGAATCTGACTTGTTCTCTCCCACAGTTCGTTGTTGCTGATTGTGTCTGGCCAACGAATCCGAAGTATTTTGCGTAGACAGCTGTTAATAAACACTTGTATCTTCTGAATGATGGCCTTGGTAGTTCTCCATGTTTCCGCTCCATACAGTAGAACTGTCTTGATATTTGTATTGAAAATCCTGATTTTGGTGTTGATTGATATTTGTTTGGAGTTCCAGATATTTTTCAACTGTAGAAATGCAGCCCTTGCTTTGCCAATCCGTGCCCTCACATCTGCATCCGATCCACCTTTCTCGTCGATGATGCTGCCCAGATATGTAAAGTTGTTAACGTCCTCGAAAGCATCTCCATCAAGCGTGATTTGGTTGGTGCATGTTGTGTTGCATCGGAGAACTTTGCTTTTTCCTTTATGTATGTTGAGACCTACTGCTGCAGAAGCTGCTGCTACACTGGTCGTCTTCTCTTGCATTTGTTGTTGAGTGTGCGATAGAAGAGCCAGGTCATCCGCGAAGTCCAGATCGTCCAGCTGCGTCCTAACTGTCCAGTTGATACCGTGCTTCCCTCCAGATGTCGACGTCTTCATAATCCAGTCGATCACCAGGAGAAAGAGAAAGGGTGAGAGTAAGCAACCTTGCCTCACACCGGTCTTCACCTCGAACGAGTCTGTTAGCTGTCCTTCGTGTACGATTTTGCAGTTGAATCCATCATAAGAATTCCGTATGATGTTAACTATTTTCTCAGGCACTCCGTAGTGTCGAAGAAGAGTCCACAGTGTTTTCCTGTCCACGCTATCGAATGCTTTCTCGTAGTCGATGAAGTTGATGTAGAGTGGTGTGTTGCATTCAATTTATTATTCCACAATGATCCGTAATGTAGCAATTTGGTCAGTACACGATCGATCCTTACGAAATACAACCTGTTGATCTCGAAGTTGGGCGTCTACGAAATACTTCAATCTGTTTAACAATACCCTGTTGAAGACTTTGCCTGGTATTGAAAGAAGAGTGATGCCTCTGTAGTTCTCATACTTGCTGAGATCGCCTTTCTTTGGTATTTTGATGAGGTATCCTTCTTTCCAATCTGATGGTACTTGTTCATCATCCCAAATCTTCTTGAAGAGAATGTGAAATATTTTTGCAGTTGCTTCTACATCTGCTTTCATTGCCTCTGCTGGAATGTTGTCTGGTCCTGCTGCTTTGCCGCTCTTGATTTGTCTGATGGCCATACTGATCTCCTCAATTGTAGGTGCGCCAATGTTAATTTGAGAATAAATTATTATTATTATTATTATTATTAATTGGGAGGTCCTTGGATGCTGCTTCGATGTTGGGTGTGTTCAGTGGAGCTGGTCGATTCAATAGTTCCTTAAAGTGCTCCACCCACCTATTTCGCTGTTGTTCAGTGTTGCTGATTACTTTCCCTTCCTTTCTTTTCACTGATCCTTCTGGTTTACGATAGTTACCGGCGAGCTTCTTTGTTGTTTCGTACAATTGTCTCATTTTTCCTTCTCTTGAAGCCTTTTCCGTTGTCATTGCTAGATCTTCCACATATTTTCGTTCGTCAGCTCTGATGCTCTTCTTCACTTCCTGTTTGCTTCTGTGTATGCAGCTTGTGCGGTAACTTTCTCTGCTCTTGTTCGGCTGACCTTGATTTCTACCTTCTTGTTCCTCCTTACTTCAATTTTTCCAAGAGTACCAACAGAGATCCATTTCTGGTGACGGTACTTCTTGTGGCCCAGAACCTCGTGACATGTTGAAGTGATTGCCTCCTTGATCCCTGTCCGAGTGTTCTCCACTGTCGCTTCCTCTCCAGTGTGTAGATCCTGAAAGGCCTGGAACCTATTGGTGAGGGCTATCTTGAATTCGTTGAGTTTTACGGTATCCCGAAGAAAGGCCGTATTAAACTTGTGTGATGTTGTCTGCCCCGTTATCCAGTGTTTCTTGAGTTTCAGTTTTATTTTAGCGACCAGCAAGTGGTGATCTGAAGCTATATCAGCTCCTCTCTTGGTTCTCACATCCTCCATGGTCCTTCTGAACTTTTTGTTGATACAAATATGGTCAATTTGGTTTTGAGTAGTGTGGTCCGGTGAAATCCATGTGGCTTTGTGAATGCGTTTGTGCGGGAATATTGTGCCACCGATGACCAGTTTGTTGAAGGCACATAGGTTTGCAAATCTCTCACCGTTTTCGTTTCTTTCTCCCAGTCAATGTCGTCCCATGATGTCTTCATATCCAGTGTTGTCTATGCCAACCTTGGCATTCAGGTCTCCCATAAGAATCGTCAAATCCTTTGGTGAACATTTTTCGACGATTGACTGCAGCCTTTCGTAGAATTGATCTTTAACGTCGTCATTGTAGTCATTGGTAGGTGCATAGCATTGGATGACGTTCATTGTAATGTCCTGTTTCTTTGTTTTGAAGGATGCTTTGATGATCCTCGGTCCATGAGATTCCCATCCTATCAGTGCCTTTTGTGCATGTTTGGACAGCATCAGTGCAACTCCTTGTGTATGTGAAGCATTTTCCTCTTCATGACCAGAGTATAACAGCAGTTCCCCTGAAGCTAGTCTCAGTTGTCCTACCTGTGTCCAATGCGTTTCACTGATGCCGAGCACCTCGAGGTTGTATCTTTTCATTTCTGCCGCAACTTGAAATAGTCTTCCAGTCTCCCACAATGTACGAACGTTCCATGTACCTAAAAAAATGGTTGCTCTGGTTGTCAGAAGAGGCATCAGCCCCGTGACTTCCGAGGGAACTCGGCTTTCATCACGAGACGTCATAATTCTTCTTCCAACTCCCAGGGCAGAGTTAAAATGGTTTGAATTATTTTTTCTGGTTAGCGTTTTTTTGGCAAGTGAGATTTCAACGGAATGGGGTCGCCGACCCCATGTCCAACCCTCCTCCTTTATCCGGGCTTGGGACCAGCAGTAGCCCCTAAGGTTCTACTGGCGGAGTTTTACTTTCTTGCTTCCTGAGAAATTATGCTTATGAAATAATCCGAAACGTACAACTACAAGCAATATATATTCC